GCAAGCCCTCGAAGCCTAATTGATCCCCTCAGAGAGTGAGTGTCGCCTTGGGAGACGTTCGATGAAAGGTAATGGGCGCTCCCGCACGAGTTTGTTCCTCCCATCGTATTCATGTTCCTTGATATCGCATTTCGAGATTCAGTCCTGTGTCCTATACAACCTTTAAATCCTTGCAAGCAACTCCTTTGGCTTCTGTTCCTCCTGTTTCAGATAGAATCTCCCCTCTCCTTTTCATCTCTAAGTTTGGATAGCCGAAGACTATTTCCTTGCCAACTACTATTTGCGTTTAATTCAGAACCCGATTTCAATGAATGGATGCGCATAGTTCCCTATGAAGGTGGGGCTTGATGTAAACATTGCATGGATTCCATGGGTGAGGTTGAGGGATTGCGTTGCGCTGTTTTCCCAGTTCGGATCATTCATCTTTTCCCATCGAGGCGAGACTTGAAATATGAGGAAAACTTCTGCCGATATTGACGTGCGATGGAAAATGCGAGTTTCTCGGTCGCCAGGGAGATCTTCGACCTTTCGTCCCTCGCCCGCCGTTTTTCCCTTGGGTACGACGAAAAGGAGAGGGGAGATTCCACCTAAAGTAGGAGGATTTCATAAACCGAATGGCTTGAAAGGATTTGGGGTTTCCGAGGACACGGGACTGCATCTCGAAATGCGGTCTCAAGGAACGGGAAGACGATGGGAGGAATAAACATGCGTGGGAGCGACATGACCTTTCTTCGAACGTCTCCCGATGCATAATTAAACTCATATAGTATTCCTCTCTGAGGAGATCAACAGGAATGAAATTAGACTTGTTTATTTATGTCTTAGCACATAGTTCCAGCAAATTTGAAGTTCCACCTTTCCGGGGATTGCGGAGAACACTGAATCTCACTTGACGTTCAGTTTAGCTTATTTCTTTCCCTTCCACCCCACCTTCAAAGGACCTTCAAAGGAGAGTTATTGTCTCGTAAAATACAAAATGCGCTATTTCTCTTTTCTGCTGTGCACAATTTCGAAATTGAAATCAATTTTCGTGCATACGTGACTTCCTAACGTTAGGCCTAGAGCTAACCAACATACTGCTTTCCGGTCAAGAAATGGTCTACCATTTTTATTTGAGCTTTTCATGGACTTACTCACTCTCGTCAGGATCGGAAGTCTTCAGGTCGTGTAATTATCCTCTATTCGGAAGATCTGGAGAGTATCAACTTAGAGGGGCTTTTTTCTTATCTCCCTATCTTTGCATTTGGACACGCTTTCGTCAACGAGAGGAAACAAGGAGCATATTTTGTTGGTACTTAAATGTTTTTTTCCTCGAATTCCTCATGCAATTAGCATCATCAAGGATTTGAAGTGAGGAAGACCAGCTGCTGCGAAGGGAAGGATCCAAGTCATAGGCATGATTGATTTTTGAAAGACTTGGGATGGTTACAAATTCCGATGTTCAATCGGATGATGCACGTTTGAATGGGTAGGAATCTAAACATAAGGCAAAATGTGAAAAGCTAGAAGGATGTAAATGCTCGTTGTCCATTGTGTCCAATTTTGAATTTAGTCGTTTTAATGCGAGACACGCCTAATTTCCTGATTGGTTTTATTTCTGGAATAATTCACATAGAAATGTAAGTTAACCGATGAACCCATCGGGGCAAAAAAAATACACCATGCAAAGTTCATGCCTCTTTTCACTGGCTAATGGAAAATAAATCGGAAATAGAGAAAATACGCAATTTTGAAAAGTGGCACTCCAGTCATCGTTCGATAACCTGTCTCTTTTTTATTTCAGGGTTCCACTCTTCTCTCGTGTTCTTGACCACAGCGTAGGATCGGGTTTCTTCTGCTGGCAATATATAGAATTCGGAAGAGAATTTTTGACGATTTCTGCCAAGCATCATAGCCGCGGGATCGTATCTCTCTCCGTTCGAGAAGCTAGTCAAGCGCCAGTCGAAATTGCAGGCGATCAAGAGAAAATGAAGGATCTGTGACGTGGATGTACGTGTTTAAGTATATATTCTCAAGCCGTAACATGAATGCAGGCGACAATCAGACCTCGAACCACACCTCGAAACTACTCACGCAAAACCCAAATGTGTTACATATTACGTGGAACTAACTATGAAACCCAATCGAGTGCACGACGTAAAAAGATTCATCACGAAATCATACCTTCTTTGGACAACTGATTTCTCTCACTTGTTTCTTCCCAGAGGGAATGTTTCGCCCAAGAGAGTTGAAATGTTTTCCCCCAATCAGACATGACAAAAATGGTGAGAATCAGGAACGAATGAATGAGAATCGACACTTTTAAAACAATTTTTGTGAAATGACTTGAAGTGGAGGGTCGGTGTCACCACGAGAGGGTTGCAGTCGTTTTTCCGTGACAAGGAAAAGACGTCACTCGAAACCGCAGGATGACTTGGACCGCACCAATATTGACTTTTCTTCTCCTCTTGTGTAATTGAATCACGTGAAATTTCAAGATACGTTTTGTTCTCGGTAGGTGTATCATCGATTTTTTAATTCTGTGTTATGCAATGAAATACATCTGTTCGAAAACGGATTTTCGCATTGGGTCAATGCAGAACGCAATTTCCTGCAATGAACCATTGCTAGCTTCTTGAAGGTTTTTCAGAGCGGAAGTAAAAGTCAGTGTGGCCCCCCCCCCTTAAGTGAAATTAATCCTAACCTGCGGACTTAAGTCAAGAATGGTCGACTTTGAACTACACTAACAACCTCTCCTCTTTTACGTTTTCTTTGGAAATCGGAAAGTACGTTTTTAGTTTAAAAATGCGCTCACAGATGATGAAATACTTCTATCGAGGGGAATCCTTTCTTCGCGATGAGACAACTGAGAGCATGTTCAAGATGTAGCGAAATTCTCTCCAGTTATGAGAGAAACACCGAATTGAAGACATTTCTTGATCGCCAAATCGCGATTTCTATTGTTCAAATGCAAAGTAAGAGCAGTACTGCGTTATGAACCACTATACTTTAGCATACTTTGTCAAAAGTCGCACCTACGGTCTATAGTCTTACGCTAACTAGAAAACATAGGCAGAAACAGTTCAGTAACTAGCCGGAGGCACCTGAAAGGTAAAGGATGCGGCCCGCCGACCGATGGGAGTTTAACACTCCTGATATAGCTGCCGATTTCGTAATCTGGGCCCAATCGAAAGGCAATCTCAGGGGGGATTCGCGGTTCAAGTGCCATCCTGTAATCGACGCAATGCCGTCGATACGATACGTCGTAGACGAAATCGAGAGCCTTACCAATTTTTTCACCCATTTCTCAATTCTCGCACCCGAGCATTCGTTTTGGTTGCCTCTCGATTCGTCCACGCAATCCAAGCCCTCGCGAGTAGAATTCTCGGGGATCCAAGTCTGGTGCAAGCAAAACTCCGATTCACGAGCGAAACTTCCAAGGACATACAACGTCGAAGAAATATCATTGCTGCATCTTCTCAGGATGAAAGAAATGCTCAAGAAATTCTTGAATCGAAACAAAAAAGTTTTGCCGTTTCCAAAACATCCACCAGAATTGAACACCAGCAGCTTCTTTTCGTTCGCCAATCAAAAGTCGACCTCAGTGGAATCGACGAGACAGCGGGAAGGACTTAAAAAAGGCTTCCAGCAATTGGTTAAAGAAGCAACCCAAAGAACGCTTCGGGGTTGGAATATGAGAGATGAATGAAATTGCAGGAAAAGTACGTCTTGCTTGGAAGTAGTACCGAATGTTGGGCAAACCGAAGTGGCATATACGTGTATCGGCTCTGACTCGAACGTTTAGTATCTCTAATCCCTCACAACTCTGCGTGAAGGCAGAGATGAGAGCGACGAATGAAAGAGACTTCCTCTTCACCCTTCCCCCCTTCCCTATCCCCGGGGTCGGAACGAGACCGGGATGAAACTGAAGATCGCGACTTGCCTTGCCGCAGACGAAATCCTTCTCGTGCATGCACCTGCAGATGAAGAGGGGCAAGCCCATTGCCGTGCGTCCTCCCAGAAGGGCCCCATCTGGGACCGACACCCCGGATGCTGCCACCCAGTCCAGGTATCTCTCGGTGCCATTCACCAGTACCTGAGGACGTCAGACAGAAAGCAGAGACAACAAAAAATTAACGAGAAATCTCTCCGTTTCACCGTTGCTATGCCGTTGGAGTTATTTTTTAAATAGGATTTCTCCTTAAGACGCTGTAAAGAAAACTTAAATTCTGTTTCAAAGGATTAAGTTTAAAAAATCGACTCGAAGATGACGGAAATGTTTCCAAATACACCATTATATGACATAGCATAGCTCTTTACTTAGAGGCCTCTCAGCCCACCAGACACAGAAACCATCACAACTGCAATTGAAAGTTGTTAACTTCACCAGAATCACCATGCACTATGAATAAATATTCCACTCCAAATCCACATGTCTCATCATCCCCTCTCTGAAAAAAGTCTCAGGCATGATTCTCTCACTTCGTAGGTCTTCTTCTCCATCTCCTTCCCGCCATACGGTGCGTAGCAGGCCGAGTGGGAAGGATGGAGCTTGCATGGCAGGATGTCGCTGTCGTGTTTGGTCCTTCCCACGTAGATTTTCTCCCCGCTGGACGTCTTCCCGCCCTCCAGGGCTCCGACCGGGTATTTCCCGTTGCTCGCCTCCACCCATTCCGCCAACTTCTGGAACTTCCCTGATGATCACATGAGAATAGGAGAGGAATCACAGAGAGAAGGCTAGATGAACGGTTTCGCCTCGTTTTCATTTCCGTTTGTGGAATTTGAGACAGACTCGGACGCGGGGTCGGGTGTGTCTCTTGCGGACAAATTCCGTTGGAGGATTGCGAAGGCCTCCGCAAACGCTTTAGGCGAGGACCTATTCGCGCCGCTTTTGTGTTACCTGGTCGTGACAGCGGCAGTGTTGGGGGTGCGAACGCGATGGCGGCGATTAAATTTGGGAAGAAACAACAAAGGTCTCCTTTCTCATCCGTTGACTCATCGGAGCTTGATCTCGCCAGTTGCTGGTCACAGAAATAATTTGATGACTAATTGAAATACCTGCACGGCAGGGGACACTCTCGGATCCGATGGTGCTAACGGAATTACGAGAAAGTTGATTTTGCTGAGCTCCCCTCATTCTCTTCAAGATATTCGTACCACCCTGCGTCTTCTCGGTGGCAGTTTCTGCATATAAAATTTTATGAAATCCAAAGACACTCACGATGGTGAAGGCTTGAGTAGGCCAACCAGCCTCTGTCGAGAATAAGGCCGCTGGAACCACTTGCAACGAGCTCACATTCTCCCAACTCGGGGTTGTAGTTGACTCCGTCGCAACCTCTGCCTTTGTGCTCGTTGATGTCGCACTTCCAGATGCATTCCTGAATATTTGGCTCCTGCAAAAAAATTTCCAGCATTCCCGACAGCTTCAAATCTTTTCAAAAGTGATCGAATCTTCTCATCTTCTTCACCAAGTTCCCGATCTCATTTCCCTCATATCCGATAGGGAAAGAGAATACGAAGACCACAAAGTCAAAGAACTTCATGGTGAATGGAAAACTCTGCGTTTCCTTCGCATATATATGTAGGACGAATTCCCCTATGTATTGCTTATTTAGCCTCTCAATGCCGTCATTCGGAAGAAAATATGAAGGTTCTAAAGTGTCACCCCATGGATATGCATATTTCATTCTATTTGCTTTAACAAGGCTAGTTCTTGCGCATTTCCACTGAAATTTCAATAGGAAATCGATGTAATCATGAGCCATTTCATCTTCAGATATAATTAGACGGAATGTAAAGGACTTTTTCTCATGTATCATCGTTATTAGTTGATTTCATGTGCTTCGCAGTGAGAATTTTGCAGGAGTATTTTTTAAAATGGTATGTCCAGAGTCTCGCCTTAGTGGATGCTTGAGTATACCGAGCTGCCGTTGGCGGGTATGAACAAACTTGAAGGCCTCGCAACCAGCTCATCATCTCCTCTCTCTGAGCGTCAGTCAACTGCGTCACATCCTCCTCCGCGATGCTCATTGATGTCGCAATTCCAGATGCGTACATGAATACTCGGCAACTTCAGGAACATTTTCGGCACTTGCGACAACTTCCAATCCTTCTCCTCGAGATCGAATCTTCTTATGTTTCGTTTCCTCGTACTCAAAGGAGATACGTTGGCCTCGAGGCCGCAGTTGTCCTGGACCTGTTCGATGGCCTCGACCAAATGCGAGGTTCGTTCCGAAAGTCCATACCGTTTTAATTTGGATCACGTAGATGTGAAGGGAGAACGGTGCCTCACTTTTTTAATTTCAAACATTGTCTCCCTCCTTCTCGAGATAAAGTTGACACCATTTTATCCTGTCTTTCTGGCACTCCAAAAACGAATCTTCATTAGTACGATTAAACGACTTGCAAATCGTGCTTCCAGGTCCTGCAATTGATGGGAAACGGGTGCCCTAGAACGAATCCTTCGGCTGGATGGGCGATCAGAAATCGTCCTGTGAGGTGCAGGACTGTTTTCGCACTTGCTGATGCGAATTCTTGCCCCTGATAGGAGACAGGATGATACATTTGTACTACGTCGTCTATATGAAAGGCGACATTTCCAGTCACGGCAGGGGACACTCTCGGATCCGATGGTGCTAACGGAATTACGAGAAAGTTGATTTTGCTGAGCTCCCCTCATTCTCTTCAAGATATTCGTACCACCCTGCGTCTTCTCGGTGGCAGTTTCTGCATATAACATTTTATGAAATCCAAAGACACTCACGATGGTGAAGGCTTGAGTAGGCCAACCAGCCTCTGTCGAGAATAAGGCCGCTGGAACCACTTGCAACCAGCTCACATTCTCTCAACTCGGGGTTGTAGTTGACTCCGTCGCAACCTCTGCCTTTGTGCTCGTTGATGTCGCACTTCCAGATGCATTCCTGAATATTTGGCTCCTCCAAAAAAATTTCCAGCATTCCCGACAGCTTCAAATCTTTTCCCAAGTGGTCGAATCTTCTCATCTTCTTCACCAAGTTCCCGATCTCATTTCCCTCATATCCGATAGGGAAAGACAATACGAAGACCACAACGTCGAAGAACTTCATGGTGAATGGAAAACTCTGCGTTTCCTTCGCGTATATAAATATAGGACGAATTCCCCCATATATTGCTTGTTTAGCTTCTCAATGCCGTGCAGAGTCGATGGTAGAGAAAAGCAAAAAATGCAGTAAAAGTCTTCCTTCTTTGCTAGCAGAAATTCTACGAAAAGCACTCTCCGACAAGGAGAAACTGCGAGGGAATATCATGTTTGCATTGTGATCAAATATTAAGTGTACTTTCATTGCAATGGGGGGAGGGGGGTGTAAGATACAGCATAAGTCGAAAAGGGTGATCGTGCATGAGGAGATCGTCTGGATGGAATAGTGTTGGTGAGCATGAGTGAAATGGGACAACTGGGGCAACATTAAAAACATAACAATTATTTTCTGTTGCTTTTACAGACCGCGTCTCTCTAGTTTTCCCATTGAATTGTAAATAATAACGCACTAAGGTCTTGCGCTCTTGATGGCAGAGGAGTTTTCGCTAAGCGAATTCACTGTGTATCGGTATTGACTTGCCACGACAACTCTACCTTTCCAGAAGTAGCCATTTAACATGGTCTTTGCCAATGACTGTTGGCTTTACCTGCTGAAACCTGCTGCCCACATAGATGCTTAAATATTTTGATCAAGGAGAATCATTTCAATCCAATGAATGGAATCATTACATCTCCCCTAAAAATTCAGAGTATTTTTTATATAGCAAATATCGTGCCCGTGTTGCATGCAAATTACACGAGGATAAACTCTCTCTTATTCCGTACTGGCGTGAAAGCCTTTGATCACCCGGGCTGCAATGAGTCCAATCAATGCTGGAATGCATGCCTTTCTAATCCCTCCGCGTCAATTTCATTCCTTCTGGAAGCAGCCTGTGAAGCAGCATTTCGTGCACAAAGTTATGTTTTTTCATCCCCTGACTGCGACTCCAGAATGTCTCTATTGCCATCTTACGTTGTGAAGTTCCAGCCTCCGAATAGTTTAAACTTCCCAAGCTTCTTCGTGGCATTTTGCAAAGAACACCAAAATAAAAATAATGAAATGCAGCGGTGACTCAATTCTGACGATATACGCGAAGCAGTGTCGTAAACCGGCGACGGGGCTGGTAACACTAACACAAGATTATGACACCTGAATTATGACATGTGATCGCTGCCAGCACATATCATATCATCGATGTCCGTATCCGACAATGTCTTGCGCAATGTCTCATTGTTGTTTGTGAACACTTCGCCTGGGAAGGTATTCAATAAATTGTTATTCTTATAGCAGAATTTAGGCCCTAATGCGTCGGAATTGAATGACTTTTGGAACTGTTGACCTAATAAGTTTCTCCTCTGGGTCATAAACTTTCAATTTACACCGACTGTATTCAGATGAAACACACAAAATGAATTTGGAGCTCCCAAGAATTATGCTCCCATGTATGACCTGGATTTGTTGGATGAGCTGGATGAGATGAAGGAAAATCTGCAGGAGCTACAGGTGCTGGATTAGCTGCAGGAGCTCTTAGTAGTACCTAATTAAGTGCTCTTTTCATCACAAGAGAACTATATGAGATTCTGCTCTTTGCATTTTTCTTAGGCGGTTCTTTCAGATTTTCCAGGAATGCCATCTCTTACGTGATTGGGAGATGATCAGAGACATCAGAATTGACGACGTGCAAGTGTACTTTCCTGTACCACGAGTCCAAATATATATCATGGCGAGATCGATCACACTAGCTCTGCCGTTACCCACATGAGAATCTGGTGTGACTAAAATATCTCCGGATGGCCCGGGAATGCCTGTAGTTCCCTCCCCTCCGATGGTATTACTCCATCGGCTGATTCATAGCAGCATGAATAGACAATATATTGTCTTCCGATTTCCCAATATAATTGTTGTTTTCAATGGGGGAACCCCGGGGAGCGCGCCAGTGGAAGGGTATCACCAGCGATTCACACATGCCTATGCCATTACGGAATGTACGCGTACATATACTTAGGCTTTCGCAGTAAACTCCCCTCATAAAAGGCCTGTCAAGAGGGAACATTATGGATGGTCCGAGCTTGAAAAGCCTCTGTAGAAATCCCATGAGTTCCCGTTTCTATCGCATGCACTATTGCACATTCCTATTCGCATGAAAGTGCGTCTTGAGGTTTAATACGGGATTGTGAGACTTGTTAAGAATAAAAAGAGCATTCCAGTCGTTTCATTACCCTTACGAAAAGATCCTATAGGATCCGATGAGATTTTCGAAAATTAAAATATAATAGACTTATTATTGGAATCCCATTGAATGTATCCCATTAATGGCTTTAAATTTGCTTCAATAAGTACAAGATTAATAACGTGAAAAGCCGTTTTTATTAGCTTACCCTTTCTTAAACCCGCCCCATTCTCCCTTCCAGACGTGACTATCTAACGTTGGGCATAACCAGCATACCGCTTTCGTCACGCTTTCGTCAACGAGAGGAAAAAGGAGCATATTTTATTGGTACTTAAAGGTTTTCTTCCTCGAATTCCTCATGCAATTAACATCATGAAGGATTTGAAGTGAGGAAGACCAGCTGCTGCGAAGGGAAGGATCCAAGTCATAGGCATGATTGATTTTTGAAAGACTTGGGATGGTTACAAATTCCGATGTTCAATCGGATGATGCACGTTTGAATGGGTAGGAATCTAAACATAAGGCAAAATGTGAAAAGCTAGAAGGATGTAAATGCTCGTTGTCCATTGTGTCCAATTTTGAATTTAG